CTCACAAAATTAAATAAAAATTTCCAAAAAATATTAGAAAATTTTAAAAATTATTGAAAAAATAACAAATTTGATAAGAAAATTAAGGATTAGAGAAATTTAAGAAATATAGAAAATGGTTATTTATTATTGTAATGGGAAATTGAGGATATTTGAGGAGTTTTATACAGAATGTGATCTTTATAATTAAAAGAAATGAAGATATTCAAGAAAGGAGTTTACAAATGCAGGGTAAAGGAACAATACTCTGCATTTGTAAACTCCTTTCTTGAATTGAAATTCAATGAATCACATTCAAGTGAAAAAGTGCAAGCTATTCGAGAAAGGAGTTTACAAATGCAGGGTAAAGGAACAATACTCTGCATTTGTAAACTCCTTTCTTGAATTAAAATTCAATGAATCACATTCAAGTGAAAAAGTGCGAGTTTTCCTAATTTACACATATAAATGCAATATAATAGCAATATCCCACTAAGCACAAATGTAATCTCAATCAAAACACATTATCTTCATAAATGTTAACAAATTTTTCTATTCACACATGTCTAATCATAAATAATTAAGTCTATTCATCATTTATCGTCTAATCAAATATAATTTACATTCTCATTGATAATTGTTATATAAAAATAACATAGATTATATTTCAAATGAGACTCTTAGAGCTTTTCTTATTTTAACATTGTAATAATATAGAATAGCATATAGATATATATGTAATAACGTATATATATGCTTATTTCTCTCATGTTTCGAAATGCAATGTGATATTGCACTCACTTTTTATAGAAATCTACCATACTCATAGGAATGATGACATATACATTTGTCTATCTATCTACGTTGTAAAAACCTTCATTAGCCCTAAGCTCAAAGTTTTTCTCATTCATTGCTTTAAATTGACCAAAAAATTGAATACTTGCTTTAAATTGACCATTCAATTTAAAGTTCGTCCCTTTGTATTTTGGATTTTGGAGGTTCTTGTTGTTATTTCTACAAATTAGATCCTTATTAAAATTGTTAATTTTTCGATCATTAGCGATGTCACAGTTTAAATTGGAAATTCTTTTTCTTTGGATAGTTCACACCCGTAAAAATATTTTTACGACTTTATTATGCGACAAAATACAGACAAATCTTGCAGTGATGAACTTTATGATACAGAACAAAGAGAAGAATAATATTCATTACTAGATGATTAAACCTAATCAATCTTCGGCATATTTAAATGCACATATTAAATTTGAAAAATGCAAAAAAGTCCAGCTGGGATCAATATTTTGGTAGTAAAGATAAATGTGACTATATACAAAATGGGACCGTATTATTTGATAATAGCAGTATCAATAATTATTATGTTTTACTTTGTTTCTATAAAGAATGCAAAGAAACTGGCGCAATTTGCATTCAAAGAACTAATAAAGTGTGTACATTACTTGAAGAAACAGTATTTACCAATTGTAGTTCCACCACAGAATATGGTGGAGGGTCTGTTTATTATAACTGCCAAGCAGATGGAGAGTTCGTCCAACATCGAACATGTTATTATGCGTCAATAGCAGAGCAAGCTATGGCATTTGCTCAAGCTGCTAAGCAATACCTTTCTAATAAAAACTATGCAATTGAAGTTTCTGTTCTTAAATGTGGAGAAAATGAAGAAAAAGGAAGTTACACATTTGGTATTTCTTTTGGCGATATATGTTTTGATAATAACAACATCACAAACAACAAATGTATTCATCAATAACTATTGGACTTTTAGGAAATTCGGGTACATATAATTTTTCAACATTTAGAGAAAACGCTCAAATTGAAAGTTTTTCGCTTTTATTTTCCTCTTCAGATTATTCATTAACTCATACAGTTTCGTATTGTAATATTATTGGAAATAAATGTGGAGCAGATAAAAACCAAGTTCTATTTTATTGTATATCCAAAACTAATTTAGATCACTGCATATTTTTAAATAACACTGCAAAATACATGTTTGGGCAAGATATAGATGGTTATAATTCGACTATTTCAGATTCATATGTTGACTCTAATTCAACCACAGGATCAGGAACTGTTATATTTAAGAATATAAAAGAAGGTTACGATTTTAATACGTTTACTCATATATTTAATGAAAACTGCTCAATAGTTTCTCATAGAATAATCTCCCTTAAATCGATTTTTCTTTCAAAGTTTGCAAAAACTGCAACTGCAGGATTATTTTCACGCAAAGTATAGATATAAATGGCAGTATTATGTCGACAAAAGTCGTTATTCTGTTCAACGGCAAAACAAATTATTTAAGCTGTTAAATCTTTTCTTTTTTATAAAAACTTTGCTTTTAATTTTTCAATTTTTAAATGAGGAGAAAACAAACCAAAAGGAAGCAATACATTTCTAATTGGATATTGTGAAATACTAATTAAGAAAAATAACATCGCAAGCAATAAATGCATAGAAATTTCATTGTATCTGGATTTGCAGGATTTAAAAATAGGCGTTTATTAGTTTTGAGAGTGTATGAAATTTTTTTAACTTCAAATGAATTCTTAATATTAAATAAAGTAAATCAAACAATTTATAAAATAACAAATAAAAAAAAACAATATAGAAATAGAAATAATTAAGCACGAAGTTCGGAGACAGTTGGTAAGAAAGGTTTGAGTGCTTGTCGTGATGGATTCCATCCTTTAGGTAAAACTTTCGAAGGACGAGAATTTGTTACTTTCGGAATTACGATTGCTTTGTTTATCTTGTTCCCTTCGATTGCAGAGATAGATTGTGCTGTTGAAGGAACTGAACTGACTGGGAATCCACCGCCAATGAACTTGGCTGTGTTTCCTGCTATTTCTTCTGTTTTTGACTGTGTTGATGACCTCATCTCGTGGACTTTCTTCTTCTCCATGAAATATGATGATTTAGTGTAATTGAGTTCACCACGAACTTCTTCAACACTCTTCTTAAGTTCATCGATGTTACTTGAGCGATCAAACAGCTCTGTTTCGATCTCTTGAAGTTGTTTCGTCTTCATTTCGAGCTGTTCTTCAAGAATTCTAATTTCTTCATCACCGTCATCTTTCGTTTGACTTCCAACTTTCCTTTGTTCGCGAACAAGAAGTTTACGACGTTCTTCACGAAGAACTTTAAGTTTGTCGATTCGATAAAGACGTTCCATAAGTTTGTTTCGGAGTTCTTGTGTCATCTTGAGGAGATTAAGAAGTTCTGGATTCGATGCTTCTAAGAAACGCCATCTGTGGATATTCATCGGCGTTTCAAGTTCATCTTCAAGAGCACGAACACGACCTTGTTGGAAAAGGATTCCTTTCTCAAGATTTCGACATTCCGTTCGTAAATAAACGGAATGTTTCGATTTGTCCATCAATTTCTTCTGTTTTTCAACTTCGGACAACAATGTTTTCTTCAATTCGTCGACTTCATGGCATTTCTGTGTGTATGTTGCTGATTCTGATTTAAGACGGCCTTCAATAAGAACAATCTTCTCTTTTAATAGATCTAATGAATAAATTCTGTCATGAATCTGCTTTTGATAAAATAAGTTATATGTTGAATGCAATTGATTCAATATATTCGAACTCATCAACACTTTCATGAATATAAGAAAAATATGGAAAAAATTTAGCAAACCTATTGAAAATATTATTATTTGAATGATACACAATTTAATTGGGACAATGTCACGCCCGTAAAATATTTTTGCCATAATAATGTTAAAAAATGAACAAAAATCAGAACAAAGGGGAAGGCTACACTTTGACTATCTCAGATTCATATG